ATAGGAGCCCCACATATGTACATCTATAATACACCTCCACTGAGTCAAGGGGACAGGTGTTGGTCCAGGAGCCAGACAGAACCCAACTTGACTCTCTGGTCCCATGTAGAGTTTGGGAACAGTTAGAAAACCATCTTTTTACTTGTGAACTGAGCAAACTGGATCTGTAAGTGAAGGAGAGACAAATTTTGTGATGTCATTTTTACGGAGCAAGATCCCCACTTTAAAACATTTAATCCCCTTCATTCTCCCTTAGTGTATTTCATGGTGCCAAATTAAACAGTGACAGTAGCATATAGAATAATTGATTCACAACTGATGGTATCATAATGGCGTCTGGCTGATATAAGAAGCCAGCCAAAAAGCAGAATATGCTATTTGAAAATACGTTTAAAACTAGCACGTGCATCCACAATTCTCACAGATCCTTCAAAGGAAGCCTTAAACGAATGTGATTTTTGTATCAATCACGAAATACATCTAGAATAGAATTTAGGGGAGCAGAAAAGTTAGATGCATGTGGATTACACTGGCTTCGTGTGTGTAACTGCATCTCAGCCAAACGACTGCACTCAGTGCTTATAACAGCCTGCTACTTGCTCAGAGCTGAAAGAGCTACTCTAGCTCGAGCAGTCAAGGCTTACGCTGAAGATAGGGGGATCGATACCTGCTGCTGACCACGGTATCTATGTTTGTGTGGCCAAGATTTAACAGAGAAGCCCTTACATTTAAACATCTGGAATCAAAGGTGACCTTCACGTCCTTTATAAAGGCAAATATGTTTCTGATCTATAGAAACTGGCATGGGTTAGCTTGACATCAGTTGGCAGCGTAGATTTGTTTGTGAAATGTACCACTTTGCAATCAAGCCCAGTGCAGTCAAGATGCCATTCTATCTCATACATCCGCTTGGCTGCATATGTTACATTACTGAATGTCAGCACAGCTGTTGCATCTTTCCCATAGCCTTACACGGGGCTGCTTTTGTTCCTGGAATAACAACTGGGTTTCAACACTATCTGGTCTGTTTTCATGAAACCAGAGTCGCCTCTCAATGTATCCAGGCCGTCTCTACTTGGCAGTTCTTACACACCCTGAGTGTTACATCTCTATGGAACCTTTGTAACTAATATTCAGCAACGTCTTTATTCTTTAGCTGGTTGGGGGAATAAGAAGGTGCAGAACCCACAGTCCATTCTTAGACCTTTAACTAAAAAATAAAAATAAACCCAGTTCACTTCTCATGGAGAACTTGAAACCTTCGCTGCCACGTTCCTAGGCATGTTTGTTTCCGCTGTAACAGTGTAGCATGGTGTGATTCTATCCACCACCAGTCCCTGAAGCACCGTATCGTCTTCTTGTCCATGTTACTGGATGTCATAGTGCTGCGCAAGCCACTGCTGCTGTCCACACGCTTGCTAGCAGAAGGCTTGCTGAGAGTCTGAGTGCTGGGCGGGCCGAGAGGGAATCTGAGGAAGAGGTGCATGAGCAGACCTCGTAGCCGTTTTCCGAACGGCTCTCGTCGTGCTGCCCTTGCTTGGAGTGCGCCCCAGTCCTGCTGCTCCCTGCCGAGTCTGGAGAATCAGACTGCATGTCACCGCACACCAGCCAGTCTCTGGCGATGGACTGAGGGTAACCAGGTTCTGGTTCCAGGTTATTGTCCAACACTTTCCAGTACTCCTTGCCCCTGAAGAAATAGGTTGCACCTGGAAAAAAAAAAGACATGCAGGGTTAGCAGGCATGAGCTCTGGGAGGGGCTCTCTATCACTTAGTCTCCAGGGCAGCAAAGGGGTGCTCACACCCAGCTGGACACAGCAGTAACGGAAACATCCTGAGCTGATGGGAGCAGGTGCAACTCCACCAGGAGTAATGGAGTTTTTGTCCACTTGCACCTGTTCACGACAGCACAGTAGGCAGGGACATGTGCCACCTGTTTGCTTACAGGGCTGGCTTTAAGCGTATGGTACTACAGTGACCAAGTCGGGGGGGGGGAGGGGGTCTGCCACACACACGACTCACCAGCCATGGTGGCCCAGTTATGGTGGGGGAAGAAGATGGGCAAGGCCTCACATGTCTAACTTCACAGAAGGGCCTATATGTTGATGTGCCCAGAGAGAATATGCTGAGGGTTTTGTGATGCCACTGGCATATTCTTAAAGAGACAACCTCAAGGCCTTTAATCCACCGGGGACCTGGGAAGAGAAACTCCTATAATATACTGTGCTCCTGCGAGCCAGGCATTTCAAAAAGACACCTCAGCACAGAGGCCTCCTACGTCTTAGGCATCACTTAAGTCCCATGTTAAAGGATTAAGTGGTTCATAGGGCCTTGCACATGTACCACTGACAGACCCCGGTTGTTGGCGGGTGGGATCGAACCTGGGATCTCTGGTGCTAAATGCATGAGCCTCTACTGCATGAGCTAAAAGCCATATGGCCCTTAGCTAAGGCTGTGAAGCAAAAAGAACAGGAGTACTTGTGGCACCTTAGAGACTAACAAATTTATTAGAGCATAAGCTTTCGTGGACTACAGCCCACTTCTTCGGATGCATATCTGTGAAGCAGACTCATTAATCTCTCTAATGGTGTCCCTAGCCTCTGTCTGTCAGAGGGTGGAGATGGATGGCAGGAGAGAGATCACTTGATCATTGCCTGTTAGGTTCTCTCCCTCTGGGGCACCTGGCATTGGCCACTGTCGGTAGACAGGATACTGGGCTGGATGGACCTTTGGTCTGACCCGGTATGGCCTTTCTTATGTTCTTATGTTCTCTCTAAGTGGTCTCGGTGCCACTAGATGGGAGATAACACTACGCCCAGGAGGTGTAGTGGGTTGCACACAGACCTCTTGTCCAGGGGTAAATTTCATCCACGAACAGGTACATTTTGAATTCCCTGAACTCGCTCCATGCTGGTTAAGGACACCTGCCAATGGGAGTGATGAGCAACGCTCAAAAGCTTCCAAGGTTCAGCCCGATAAGCCCCTGGAGATGTCCCTCTTCCCAGGTCGCTATTACATTGTTCGTTTGACATCTAAATCAAACCTGGAAGTGTCACTTTCTTGTAAGTAGTGCTTGTGCTGGAGGAAATGGATGGTTTTACGTCTCCACTAATGGAACTTCCCGCCCCTCCCCCAGGGAAATCAGGCCCCACACCAATCAATCTCATCCCCTAGAAGGAGCTTCCTGACCCACTGCCAAACATTTACTTAAAAAACCAAAACTCTTTATATCTTATTAACTTATTTTTTTCCAACTCAAATTTCAACAAATACGGCACAAGACAAAACACCATATCCAACCCATCGCATGATACGGATCAAGCCAGACTACTGCCAAAACAGGATAGACTATTGCCTTTGCTTTGCCCTAATCAACCACCTTAGGAGGCCCCAGTCCTACAAGCTGCTCTAAATGATCCTTTTGTCTGTAGGAACCCCACTGATTTCTGCAGTGCAACTGACAAGATTGGGGCCTTTGGTTGTCCGTTTCTTAGGGCAGGAACTGTCTCTCACTACATGTTTGTACAGTGCCTAGCATGAACAGTTGCAATATGAGTGTAAAATGATAATAAATAATAGAGGCAGAAATCCAGAACATGGTATCTTTGCAGAGCACATGTAGGATCGGAAATAATTCTGAAGACTTCAAAAAAAGAATAATGTTCATAGCAAACAATAGAACCTGTTTGGCATCAGACAAGTATCAATGCCACTTCTATCATATATACGCAGCATGACACACAATAACTGATCTGGTTCAGTGCTCATTGTCTTTAGAGGTGGATAACTGCCATATTAAAAAAACTGAGTGCAGTGGAGGATGTGTATACAGCTTGCCTAGGGAATTTAATCTCATCATTCACAGAATTAAATTCATCCTGGTACTCCTAGCTATAATTTCTTGTCCTATGTTAAACAATTCCCCTCCCTTAGGGCCTCAGATGGGCATGTGCTTGTGCAGCTAGCCTGCCCTACAGCTCACACTGCCATCCTATATTCTATTTTTTAACACATTCGCTGGTTGAGAGCTAGTGTGGGTACGTCTCCTGGAGCTGGGAGTGACACCCTCAGCTCGGAGTCTAGACATACCCCAGATTGGCAGTGCTGCAGCACTTTCAAGACAAAAATGCGAAGAATCTCCTATCCTATCAAAGCACCAGGGGCATGGGGGTAGCAGAACAGAGTTACCTTCACTGGAATTTGTCTAGGCTGCTGGAACACATGCTCCACTTTTGCAAAAATGCCCTAAGATGTCCAAAGTGATCAGGAATTTATTGTTATATCCAAAGCCCCATGTCGCTTAATATCATGTGGCGCATTGGTTGGTATTGATACTAATGTATGCGTACAGCACAGTTTTGACAGAGAGCAGAGTGTCCTCAACATATCTTACTGGGGTTTTACCTCTGAGGTCTCCCACCCAAGAAATGAGCTAGTTCAACTCTGCTAATTTCATCCAATCACAACCCAAGGTGGTATGTATGCCGTCAGACACATTGCAGCCCCTGGCCGGTGCAATACAGAACCCGGACTTGCCTACATCCTTGCATTTGCTACTTGTTAGACATGCTTTACACATCAAGCAGCGACACATGTCCAGTTACTGAGCAACAACTTGCAAGACTGACCACAAGATTCTTGTGATAACAGCTCTGTCTCCCGTTGAGTAAAACTGCAGCATGGTGAGATTTCACAGCTGTAGTCACAAGGTCTCATGAGAACTCCAGTGATAATGGTGCATCACTGCTGGAATAGCGTGTTAAGTCCAGGCTACACTTTAAAAGTTTTACTGACATAATTATGTTGGTAAGGGATCTGATTTTTGTTTGCCAGAATAGTTATGCTGGTAAAAGCCCTATTGTAGATGCAGCTATACTGGGATAAGGCACTTTATATTGGTATCGCTTATTTTGCTTTACTGAAACAGAATACACTACATGGGTAGAAGCGCTTTTATACTAGTATAACAGTGTCTGCACTAAGGCCTTTGTTCTGACTCCAATTTAACTATGCTGGCCTAGTTAAAGCCACAACATTTCTAAGTAAAGACAAGGCCTTAGGTTAAAAAACAAAACCAAACCAAACTCTGTTAAGCTAGCACCGACTCACCATCTGACCATCTCATTGCGTCATCTAACGTGCTTGGAATGCCCTTCCACAAAGTGGTCTCGGAAGGATAGCCGGGATCCATCCTCCGCTCATGGTCGTCATAGCGCCAGTAGAGACTGTCCTTAAAGAAATAAGTCTTGTCATTGTGGGCCCAGGAAAAAGCAGCGTCGATGCCTCCCGGTGGCAAGCCAAAATCCGAAATTGGCCGAGGGTATCCTTCCTCCACGTTATTGTCTTTGAACACCCAGTATCTGTCTCCTGAGGAGAGGAAATAGGCATGTAGAAATATCAATTCTGCTTCAGGTTACACTCCATGATCTGCTGCTGTGACAATCCCTAGATTCGAATTCACGGCACTCCACAAAGGGAATTACAAAACCAACAACCCGTTGAGGAATCTGCTTCTTGTGGAAAATGCTGTTTGTGTCAAACTCCCACTTGGATACAGCCAGCCTTTGCTATTTTGCTGCTGGAGGCATTAGGTCCCAGGACATAGACATGTTGATTATGCTGCGTAGTCTGAGGCTAGTCATCTCTGGTTATGCCATTTAATTCCCCACCCCCTCATCCCCTTTGATTTCCACACAATAACTGTTTAATAGAAATAAAAAGTCACACACAGCTTTCGAGGGCCAATGGAGAAGTTCTGTCTGTAATTCAACTTTTAACACAAACGCACGTACGCACCACCTTTGTAGGTGACTCCCCCAAGTTTCTGTGCATTCATTCGGCTGGATATGAAAGACCTGCACATGTGGTAGGAAGGGCACATGACGTCTTGAGAGATCTATCTATCTTGGGTACTTATGTGGCCTCCATTACCATAGTATTGGGCTGCTCTCCAGGAGGGGAATCCATACAGATCACGCTCTAGCACAGCTGCTCCTATGTGCACAGAGGGGACAAACTGCAAGCCCTGTGCTCAAAGGAGTGAATCTGGCCCAGGATCTATAATTGGACCTATGGATTGTTTGCCTCTCTGATATTGTTCTTTCAATAGCTGTGTGGTTTGGCAGGGTCCTTGTGGAGTCCAACACGTCATGGTGGCCATTTTGGATTTCTCCATCTGAGAAAATAATGCTTCGGTAGTATGTGGGAGGCCTTAAAAGCTTTAATGGGTGCAGATGTGGGATCCATTACTGAGGATAATCCATTTCTGCAGCCTCACCTCTACAGTTCAGCACTTCTGAAATCAATAATTTACCACACGCAAAGTGGGACATTAGAGAGGCAAAAAGCAATTTCCAACTGAGAGAAGCTTAGCACAGCTGCTCCTTTTGGAATTATCCAGTAGGCCAGCTCCCTAAAAAGCACCACAGACCCAGTTTGAGTGCTGGGTACAGTAATTACACAATGGAGAGACAGCCATAGTTTTGAGTGTGGGAAACTGCTAATTAGTTAAATTAGTTAAACTACTGGCAGCAGGCATAATACCAGGAATGAACGGGCCTGAGGTACATTTAGTTCTTCCATGTGGGACACTTCAGAAGTATGAACCGAACCTAATGCCTAGTCACAAAGGTGGAACATAGTTCACTGAATTATTGTAATGGATCAGTGCACTGCAGACAGAAACAGTTCTCAGCTAAATCACACGCAGCTGGGGACCAGGGCTAGAATCCTGGCTCTTCAGCTCCTAAACGCTTTGAGCTAAAGGAACTCTCCCCTTAGCTAACACTACTAGTAGGGCCCTTCTACAGCTTATCTACTACAACCTCACTCAGGCGCTGATGCACACAGCCAGCAAATTCCTCCATGTGCCTCCAACAACACTGAATATTTCACATGCAAGATGCTCAGGGTAGGCCCTGTTAGGACAGAAGAATTAAAAATCCATCTTCTACTCAATGAAGTATAAAGGGAAAGAAAAAGAAGATGCGGGGGCTGGAGCACATGACTTATGAGGAGCGGCTGAGGGAACTGGGATTATTTAGTCTGCAGAAGAGAAGAATGAGGGGGGATTTGATAGCCACTTTCAACTACCTGAAAGGGGGTTCCAAAGAGGATGGATCTAGACTGTTCTCAGTGGTACCAGATGACAGAACAAGTAGTAATGGTCTCAAGTTGCAGAGGGGAAGGTTTAGGTTGGATATTAGAAAAAACTTTTTCACTAGGAGGGTGGTGAAGCACTGGAATGGGTTTCCTAGGGAGGTGGTGGAATCCCCTTCCTTAGAGGTTTTTAAGGCCTGGCTTGACAAAGCCCTGACTGGGATGATTTAGTTGGTGTTGGTCCTGCTTTGAGCAGGGGGTTGGACTAGATGTCCTCCTGAGGTCCCTTCCAACCCTGATATTCTATGATTCTAAGAATTGTAGCACTTATTTAAGAAAAAAAAGCAGTTTGCTACTCCAGCTGGTCCTGTTTGAGAAAGTGAATTTTTTTCATTTTTTTTTAACCAAACATAATTGTTGCTTTTTGAGTGGCTCTATTAGCAGCCTAATATGTATTAGCCTTGCAATGGTGGGTTCATGGCAGCTTATGACCCAGGAGCTCAGTGGAACACCTCAGCATATACACTTGGGGCCCTCACATTTCATCTGCCACACTGAGGCTTATTTGTCCAGCATGGCAAATTCCACTGAATGACACCGAGTTCCTCCTTGCCTGCAGGACTAATGTTTAAAGCTACTAGATACTAAAGCCACAGATACTAGCAAGAGATGTGTGGTCCCTTTAACAATGTTTTTGCTCTTACCTTTGAAGAACACGATCTTGTGGTCATTGGTTCTCTCATACACCGCGTCCACACTGTCCATATTGAGAGGGAGACCCCGCCAGAAACGGTGGATCTGAGCTGGCTGGAGGGAGACCAAGTGTTTATTGCGAGTCAGTCTCCAGAAGTACTTGCCTAGATGAATACAGATTGGACATTAATGAACCATGCCATAACACCCCTTTGCTAGGAGGAAAAAGCTGTGGGTGGAGTCAGGGGATAGTAGAAAACAAAGTACATAAGGTGGGAACTATGAAACTATTTGCTTTCTTTTATTCCCCATCCCTTGGATGGCTCCCATATCCCTGACACTGAGCCATAAGGAGAAATCCACTTCCAGACTCTGCGTTACAGTCACCATCCTTCTGTCTGATAAATGAATCTTTTACTGTTAAGAGCATCCGCTTGCTGGGGGGAGACAGGAGATATTTCCTCTCCTTCCCTCCAGGGCTGAATATGCTGCCTCAGCATCAGTACCAGTATCATTACTACCCAGCAACTGAGCACCTGAGACCAAAGAGTACTAAGGCAGCTAAAACCAGGCTAGATCAGACCACTGACTAGCCCAACAAGTGATAGTTTCTGAAGAGACAGAAGTATCTGGAGCTTTTCCCTCTCCCCATACCGCCGATTGCTTTAGCAAACAGTGACTACTACTGTATGTTGCTCTGCCATGACTCTGACCTCCAAGTGTTCGAATATTTTGCATATCCCGCTGCAACCAACCCATATTGTGTACTAGGAAGAGGCGATCTGAAATCCAGTAGCTTTTATAAAGGGGTAGGAGTGGAGGAGTGAGAAGAATAAAGAAAAAATACAGAGGAAGAAAGGAAGAGCAGAAAAGGAGGCACCACTGACGTATATTGTGCACCATTCTAAGGTGTATTGAGAAGGTGGCCTCCTTCTCACCCGAAATGTTATAATGAGACAAATTCTCTGCTGCTGTAAAAGGGCACAGCTCCAGCGACCTCAGGGAAAGGGGTTGGGACGGCTTTTGTGGCCTGCATCATGCGGGAGGTCAGACTAGATGATCATAATGGTCCCTTCTGACCTTAAAGTCTATGAGTCTATGAAGCTGCAGCTAGGAACTGGGGCTCAGCAAGAAATCACATTGATCTGCCCTTCCCATCACAACCAATGTTTGCTGGGGGAGAAACATGTTTAAGGCTGGGATATTCAAAGGTGTATCAGGCAGTTAGGTTATCAAATCCCATTCAATGGGAGTTGGGTATCTAATTCCCTTAGGCACATTTGGAACTCTCCACCTGAATTTCTGTGGTTTTGCAGCACATTCCATGAATGCACATTCCTCTGGGATCTCTATAGCGTGAGTTCTGAGCTGGAGGAAGCAGGCTGATTACCTACCCTATCTCCCCTCAGTCTCCTCTCTAGTACCCCCATTCCCAAGAAGCTATTGTCGTGAGTTTATGCATATTCCTTTCGGCAAAGCAGGGAAATGAGCAACAGGTCCAAGATGTTTCTTTAGATTTGTATTCAAGACATTCAACGACATTTCTACAGAGCTGGCAGACTGTGACACCAACTTTCAAAATTTTATGGAAATTGGATCTTAGCCTAATAATGCAGGAGGCAAAACTCCAACACTTAAACATCTGCAGTGTGGGGATTTTTTTTATTACAATTATAAGGATTTATGTAACATACTTATTCTTCTGCTGCATTTTGCCTATTTGCTCTATATGACTGAAATCTATGTCTGAATAATACATTCAACTGTTAGGAATGGCAGTAATTACAAATTCTTTTAAGATCATTACAAATCTAGTATTCAAACTGTCTGGCTGTTGTATACTTATGGAAACACATGTAATTAAATAAAGATGTTCTTTGCATCTCTAATTAGGCTTGCACTGGAAAATGCCAGATTTTCACCGTTTTCAGAAGAAATACAGTTGGCATAATTGCTTTGTTAATAGGAATGTATCTAAAGTTAAAAACGCTCAGTGCTAATTTGACATAACTGGAGAAACCCCACCACTTTGTATTATTTAGCAGCTCTCCTTCCCTATTGATGGGCTCAGCAGGTGCGCGGCTGCAAGAAGCCAGTTTTCAATCTGAATTCGAAGTCAGGAATAAGCTGATTTCCAAGAGGCCGTCGGGAGCAGCAGAAACGTAGCAATTTAGGTAGCAGTGAATTCTGAATGCAATGGCTCCCATTTGCCCACGAAGCTCATGTTATCACCTCACCGTGGCCTGGTCTGCCTGCAGAAGTGCCGCACTTACTCTGACTATCCCCAGGCCATCCTGGGCAAGAACTGTAATTAGCGTACAGAGTGAAATGATTTCATTTATGGTGAGAGAGCCCGATGTAAGACCAGCCCAAGCTTGGCAGATTGAAATGGAAGCATGAAAACCAAGGTTAAGATGGGCCTTCCTGACCTCCCCCAATTCACAGAGATCATGGTAAGTTCCCGTTCATGTGGGCGGAGGCATTTTGCTTTTTCTGATGCTTGGTGGTTTTGATTCCAGCTGTGAAATGCTCTCAGCACGCTGGATGCCTCTGGCAACATTGCTGTACACATTATATAGGTGGGCCAAAGTTTAAAACTTGGGTTCCCTAAAGTGAGGGTCCTAAATCAAAGTGGTCTGATTTTCAGAAGTCCTGAAACTCTGCAATTCCATGAAAGTCCACAGGAACTCTGGGTAACTGACGATGCACTCTGTATTTGAACTGCACAGAACCCTGCCACCTATGCGGAGTTACTTCAGGTTTCACATTACTGTTTGGTGGCATTCTGTATGCGGTTCTGACGCGTTATTGCCTCAGAATTGGGAACTGCCCAACAAGAGGTGATAATTAATTATCCCAGTCCAATCGATAGCTTTGGAGCCAGATCGTGAGCTAAGGTAAATTGAAGTCAACAGAGTTATGCCAGTTTACCCCAGATCTGCCTATCGACATCACTGAAGCTATGGAGATTTACATCAGCTGAGGACCTGGCTAATTGATGCCAATGGAGCTGTACAGATTTCTACCAGCCAAGGATTTGGCCCTTTAAATCTGCCCTTGCTTCACCAGAAGAAACACACACATGTGACAAATATATGCCAGAAATAAACCACGAGGAGAATTTCTCTCTTGGTTTTTCGTTCTAGTTCTCCTCTCCTAACTCCCTTTCTTCCTTGCAGCCTCTTTGGAGCCAGCAGCTCTGTGCAGGCGTGAGAAAGAAAAAGACATCTGCAGAGCGAGTGCCTCGCGGTGTGAACATCATCTTCTGCTTTGTGCTGCCTCAGCGGCCCAGGCATCTTCAAATGCTTTTGTTCATTCCCTCTTTGGATGCCCTCCCTCCTTCCATCTGGTAGTGACATGTTTCAATGGAGATGCCGTAAACTCTCCTGGTTTCTGTTTATCATCTCATCTTAGTGAGGAGATGCCTTTCTCCCCCCCAGGAGATCAGTTGAGTCAGTTCTGGACAAGTGGCCTCAGTCGGGGACCTTTCCACCTCAAAGGCAAAGAAACCCCAAGGAAACCAGGCAGAGAAGGACTCTGTACAGCTGAGGAGGCACTGACAGGATTCTCTTAAGACAGCCTGTCCCCCCTGGAGATACACTGTCAGCAACTGTTCAGTAAACATGGAACCAGATGGTACTGTAATTTTGTGCATGTGTTTTCGTCTTTGGATGATGGTGCATTCACAGCATGTGGAACCAGGAACGTGAAGTGTGGGCGGAAAGGGAAGTTGAAGGCATTCAGGACATAAGTCAAAGTGATCTGTGGCTGTTCTCTCAATCCTCAGATGGACCCAGATTTGTAGTTTGATACTGCAAATGCCAATTTCAGTTTGTCACTTTGAAATCCTGGAGTGTCTGGTTGAACAGCTCAAATAGTGGCATAGCAGACATTGATGATATCCTGTCTCTAACAGTGGCCACTGAGAGTTGGTTCAGAGCAAAGTGTAAAACCCCCATAATGAGCAGTTATGCAAAAACATGACTGGGGGCAGGATGAACGGGGGAGGAAATGGAAGTTTCTTCTGAGCTCCAGGCAGTCAGTGATTGGCTGGTGTCCTGAGGGCCTTACCACCCAATTAGTGTAACTGCAGATGTTCTGACAGTTTACATACATTCCTAATCATTCATTAGAGTCCTATTCAATTCTTCGCCTCTTTAGCTTCTAGCAGCAGTGAATTCCATAGTTTAATTATGTGTCAGTTTAAATTTATTGTCTCTTAATTCCACCGGATTTCCCCTGCGTTGTTGGGTAAGCAGAAGTGCCTGATTTACCATTCAGTATTGTGTACCTCTACCACGACCCTCATTCACCTCCTCTCTAAAACTAGCAGGCCTCATTTAGGCTTTGTCTACACTACACAGGTTTTAGCGACACGGCAGGCAGTGTAAATGCTGCTTGTCAACACTTTTGCGGACAAAATACTTCTGCCCTCTCTGAGCGGGGTTTGCGTTGTCGACAGGAGAGCGCTCCTGCCAACAACGAGCCGTTTACGCGGCCACTTGCCGTGGCAAAACCTTTGTCTTTCGGGCAGGGGAGGGAGGCTTTTTTAAGCACCTGTGAACGACAAAAGCTTTGTCATTCAATTGGCAGTGTAGACAAAGCCAGTCACTCTCCCCCCATCTGGAAGTCTCTACATGTTTCATCGTCACCAATGCCCAGCGTATCCCCAGGCCTTTTTATACTGCTCCAGCGGGACCTGAAGGTGGGTGTAGATAGAGGGCCTTAAAGTTCTAAGAGCCCTTCATGCTGCCCCAACGGTCTAAAGTGGCCTCAGTGTGAATGAGAATCAAGCCCTGGCAGGAAGCTCTGGACCAAACCCAATACTACTGGATGTGAACCTAGTGCCGCAACCAATACCCTGACTCCATGCCCCAGATGTCTTGGCAAAGCCATCCCTCTGCTGGAGACCAGGTTGGAAGAGAAGAGTAGACTGAACGGTTGCACGAACGGAGCCCAGCTGCGTAACGCCGAGCTGGGTGCAGCTTCGGCTTGGCAAAGGTCACCTAAGCCGTTACGCGGAAAGCAGCTGCTTACCTTTGAAGAAGAAAGCCTCGCCTCTGATCTGAGCCACAGCGTCAAAGTGAGTGTTGCACCTGTTGGGCATATCTCTTCTGAGCCTGCAGAAAGACAGCACTCATGTGAGCGGCAGCCCCGCTCCAGCTCCCCAGGACCAGGCACTGCTCCTCCAGGCAAGCAGCAATTCCCCTCCCACTCACTGCGCTGGCTCGTCTGACTGAAGACAATTCCCCAGTGCACACAGAAACTGGGATCTGCAGCCCCGGGCCATCGAGATGGAGGGGTTCAATGGGACATGGCTGTAACTAGGAATGATGCAGAAGGTCACAGAGGCCCAACGTTTGGCGGGTCCCTGCTCCCACCCCCAAATCAGCCCTGCTGTGAACCCAGCCTTGTGCACAGGGGATTTTCCAAGGCAGAGGCTCTGCAAAGCTTCTCTGGATAAACGGCAGCTTTAAGACAGTTCTCATCAAAACGAATCCATGGCAGACACAACCCCCCCTTTTCTACGTGAGACCATCACCAAGAGCCAAGGAGATGGGGAGTTAGATTCTGCTCTCTGTAGCACTTCTGGAAAGCCAGAGGAACTCCAGTGCAGGCAAAGCTATTACTCCAGCTTCACTGGGGTGCGTCTGAGAGCCCACCTGGCCCCCTGCTGAAGATACTTGCTGAACAAAAAGCACACAGGCTGACAAGAGTGACTTCAACACACAGGAACTCTGGACGTAGACTCTGAGCTGCTGGGGGTCACAGCCGCACCATGAGGCAGTAACAGAAACCAAACAAAGGGGGTCAGGGGCCGGATGATGAATGCCCAGATAGTGACTAGCCTGGCTGAGATCGTGTTTTAACAAGGTGTGTGGTGGGGCCACGGGGAGTATGAAGAATGTAAAGAGTAACGAAGCCCTTGTACAATGATTGATAGAGAGCAAAGAAAGGATTTGTGAACCGTATACAGATCAGCTGCTCTTCATGGCAGGGAAGCATGAATCTAATTTGCCTTTAGAAGAACTTCATATCGGACTGCCGGCACCATCCTTCTCAACTTCTCCCTATGTAATACACCAGCCACATGTCTGAGCCCAATCAAGACTTCACCATGGTATCTGAGCACCCTTCGGCTCCATAAAACAGACTTCACATTAGTGATACAGTGCTGTGTGGCCAAGGGGAAGAGCCAGCTCCCTTCTTTCAAAGCATCACAGCAACAAACATAACTGATACAATTGTGCCACTAGAAGCGTTTCTGACAACACCGTTACGAGCTAAACAAAACACCTGCCCCAGAGGAGTTGGGATTAGAACCCTTGACCTTCAGCTCCAAAAACATAGACTCTACCACTTGACCTGAAGGAAAATTCCCTTTGCTAGTAGTAGTAGGTCCCTTATCCTTTCTGTGGTTCAGTCACTAGAGGATGGCACGCACGCATGCACACAAAACATTACATGGGATTTGCTTTAAATGCCAAGAGGGAAGGAATCTGTGAGCCCATTACGATGACGACAACTTTGCAGAGGGTATCTAACTAAACATGACCAATACAGCACCCAGCCCACCCACACTGTGAGGAGGATGAAATCTCCCAGCATGAACCTCCTTGAGCTTTCAGACTTTTCACCCTACCTTTCGGGGGCTTTATGAGGAAAAGCCCATTGCACGATTCTGACACTGATGAGTAAATTGATGGAATTATCCCATTGCAGGGCACATCCTAAATAAAGCATTTTCCTCACATCCCCACAGTCTGACAGCCCTACCAACATTCAGGAAACTCTCCATAGAAAGGCCGTTCCCAGGAAAGCCTCTTGCTCATCCTCATGGGGAAAGAAAAGAATATCCTTGCGTGCTTCCAATGATCACCCTGCTTCTAAGGAACAAAGCAGAATTCTAAAGACAGCACTTCAGTTATCCAAGGGACCCTCCAAATATAACTAAGCCCCTGAGGCCATGCTGGGTTGTATCAGCTGCATAATCGTAATTCATGAATTCTGAGTGGATTTTACCAGCAGAGAGAAGGCTTCTGTGCCCCTGATATGCTGCCCAGAGCTGTCTTGCCTCATAGATTTATCTACTCCTCTGCCGATTCATTATTCAAGAGACACTTGTCAAAATGAAAATCCTGTGTTAGATCCTCAGCTGGTATAAACTCAGCGTATCCCCATGGAAGTCAATGCTGATTTATGCCAGTTGAGCATCTGGGCCCATATATTTTAAAAACAACCTCTACCTGAGGTCCTAGCAAAATCTGCAATCGTTAAAATTAAAGAATTTTAAAAGTGTAATTGACTTTTCACCCTGACACTATTTCGATTACGGCTCTGCTCTTCCCCCAACTTAAGAGTGTGAAACTAGACTTGTCAATTTCATACTCTTTCCAGTGAGTTTGAAGAGAAAGGTTTCATACGTAAAATAAACGGTTTCATTTAATTAAAAACATCATGAAGATATTTTGACGCATAGTAGACCAAATTCGCCTCTTGTTTGAAACACACAATGAAGCCTGGATTTTCACTAGTCACTAGCGATTTTGGGTCCCCAATTTGAGAAAATGTAAAGGACCCCAGTTCTCCGATGGTGGGTGCTCAGCACTTTCTGAAAATCCAAAATGAAATATAAGCTTTGGCCCAAATCCAAAAGGGTAACTTACATTAAATCAATGGATGTTAGGGGCCGAATTACCTTTGGGGATCTGGGCCTTTGCCAATTAGCCAGCTCTTTAAATAAAAATACCACACACACGCAAGCATAGGTGAGGGTTTGGATACTATGTATACCAAGGAAGAATGATATTCATCTTGTCCTTTTTCCTTAATAAGTAGCACTTTTCCCTTTCTACAAAATCCCCCAGCACACCCTGAATTCCTTATTTATGTTCTAGTCCTGAATTAACATCTCATTAAGCTTCTTACCCACACTGGTTTTATCCCTGGGCCTCTTTTAACTCTTCTGGACCCACATTACACAGAGAGTGGTAGTAACAAAGAATGCAAACAGGACACCAGTGGCCCGAATGAGCTGGACCTCAGTGGTTCCCAGGCTGGAAGAATTAGCACCTTCTGGGGAAAGCACCGCACACGATTCTTCAAAGGTTCTTGCGAGGAGCCTCTGTGCTTCACACATCTACCCCGAGCAAGCAAACAAGGGTGTTCTGGAGCTGGACTCAGAATCGACACTCAAAAATCTAGTGGGTCCCCATGAGAGCGAGGCCTGTATGTAGAAATTGCTCCTTTGGTTCCCTTCCCCTTCCCAATCTGAAAATCCCCACCCCATGGTTGGTAACTAGCCATGATTTGGGCGGGGAGGGGACATGTATTGGAGTCACCCCTCTGCCCACTTCTTCTGGCTTTAACTCCCTGCTGCAACCACAGCTGAAGGGAAGTATCCACCCCAGGGTCTGAGAAGACCCCATGCTTCAGGAGACGCTTCACAAGGACATTGGTGGCAATGCTGCTTACTGCACAGTGGAGCGGTTCTCTGGCAGCTCTGGCAGAACGGGATGGTCGTCAGTTTTGGTTACTTCAGGCTTGGCTGTTGGGGACACAGAATCCCTGACTCCTAGGAATAAAGACAAGGGAGCATTAGAGGGCACACCACCCCCAACAGCCAGACAGTGCATCCTGGAGAAGAGCTGTCTCTGCGAGCCATTGCTGATGAAGTGAAGCGTAAACCCACTCATGGGGGCATGAACTAACCATACAGCTGCCAGATTCTGACTTTGTCTTCGTAAGGCAGGTCATACTTCAGGGGATCCCCCACCGGTCCCTGGTAATAGGGTCTCATGATAGACTCTAAGGCAGAGATGTGGGTCAAGCCGATGGCGTGGCCAAACTCATGGACTGCCACGGCAAACAGGTCCATCCCATGGGCATCTGAAAATAAAGTCATCATCAACATCAAAATAACACTGCATGCTCATCACGCTTTGGGCGGTGGTGGGCATTCAGGCGTCTACTTCAACATGCACATGTGTGTCAGTGTGAGGGACTGAGGTCGAATGGTTGGAGCCGGAGACTAAGAGTCTATGGGAGATCAGTGGGCAGCTCCCTGGAAGAGGCAGTCTCTGATCAGACGGCCCTCAGTGGTCTACACATTTACAGACAGGAAGTGCTTTCGCTACAGCATTGGGCCAAAGTACCTGCGTTTAATTCCACCAGTGAGCGGATGGGGATATCTGCCAGCACTGCCCTATCTGCCAGAGCAGGTGTCACTGCCAGCTGGATATCCCCACCCGCTGTACTGTTGGCCTCGGCATTGCACCTAGCGTAGCATGGCCCTGAAGCTCTGGGGCCCCTGCATAGATAGGGCCAATTTAAGGATTTTGTTCAGTACTGGGACAGGGACACTGGAGGGCCCCAGAGACACAGAGTCACAGGCTCCACACAGGTTGCCTGTATTAGCAGCTGTACAGCAGTGGAGTCAGACATGACGTGGCTGTTCTGGATCAGGTTCTGCGCCCTGTGGCTAATGCGGGCAGCAGATAGTCCTGCCTGACTAGCTGTCTTGAAATCTCAGCTGTTTGCCCAGTTCCCCTTGCGAAAAAGCACTAAAGGGTTCTACAGTAACTGCCACACCACCACAGCTTATCTGGGGTCTCAAGTGGTGTGGCCCAGTGGATTGGGAGGATGTCAGTGTATGTGTCCACAGGGCTGCCTTTATGACCCAGTCTGAGCACGGGCAGGGCAAGAGGAAAAGGCCGGTGAACAAACTGTTTGGAGTAAAGGGCTTGGTGCAAAAAAGTGTGCAAGGGGAAGAGGACGGGGCAGCTTGTGGTAAGACAGCTTTTGTTAGGAGGTTTGAAACTCAGGTTGTCCATAGAAACATTAGCTGCAGCAGATGCAGCATTGAAAGGTAGCCGGGTCCTTTCTCCTGGGGGTTCTGGTTTTTGAACGCGGGGACAAGGAGGAGCAAGGTGGGAGAGAGAAATCAGATTAACCAAACCAAAAAAGAGAGAGAGAGAGAGAGAGGGAGAAAATATTAGTCAATTTCAAGGAGGAAGATTAGGTCTAAATGAAATTATTAAGCCCAGGCAGCAGAAACCACTGGGACATCAGCAGGAGAGGTGGCATGACGAGAAAATTAGCAGCTGGTGGCTGGAGCAGTCACATTCTGTCAAAATCCAACTAAAATGGAGCTTGTGGGATCCCTGGCCTGCACAGCTTTGTTTTCAAAGGCTCTCCACTTACTGAAACTGGGCTGCTGGCTTGAAAGGCTGAAACTGCATTTTAAGTGGAACTTCTTATTGCCTTAAGGTAATTGCCTTAATTTGGTGGAGCTGGCGGTCCTTTGCCCTGACTTCCTAAGGGAAGAGAGTATCCTTTGTTTCTAAGCCATGGCTGGCGTTGCCCTGTCTTCTCTTACTGGGAGAAGGAGAGCTGGTTATTGGCCATTGAGAACAGCAGCCTTCAGCCTAACCTGGCTCTGCACCACCAGCTCCATCCCCCAACTAGTGGGGGGCTGTGGGGAGCTGATTGCCCTATAGTCGGGGGGATTGGGGCAGAATCCTTGGGACCTGAACTCTTCTATCAGGGGTGTGGCAAAGCTGCAGAGTCAGTGAGGGATCAAGGATCTCATTCCCCACTGCCATGCATTTCGTGCCTTCCTTGACACCTGTGCACAGTAGGTGGAAAAGCATCCTTCTGACCTGGTAGCATTTTATGCCCACTTTGCACAAGTGCACATTGACGACAATAAGTAGAGGAGATTCAAGTCCCTGGTCATTTAGTGGGGCCAGGAGGGGAAGAGCAGGCGTGAACCTGAAGGCGAAGTCTGTCTGGGAGAGCAGGACTGGAAGGTAGAGGGGGGAAGTGAGTGGGCAAGAGGTATTTTTCAGTGGGCTCCTATTTACTTCTCATTCTTCCACAGTGTAGGAGTGTTGCTGATGGGCTTTGCAAGCAGATCCCTACAGATCTCACTGGGTGGAAGCTAGGGTGACCAGACAGCAAGTGGGGGGTAATAAGCGCCTATATAAGACAAAGCCCCAAATAGCGGGACTGTCCCTATAAAATCGGGACATCTGGTCACCCTAGTGGAAGCAGGGCTTGAATTGCAGCTGTGGAGGAAGAACACATGTGCTTTCCTCTTAGCTGATCTCTGCATGCCAGCCCTGGTGCCAGAGAATTCACAGCTTTGCCACTGAAGCCTCTACAGAGCAGGGTTGAGGAGTCCTGTGAACTCAAAGGGAGCCCAACCAACCTCATCACTTACTAGTTCAGAGACCCCATGGCAGGGAGCAGCAGGATGGGGCGAGACAGGGATTGTGGGAGTGGCAGATGAGAACTTTGGGTTATTTAGGTGTGGCAAGTGAGGGATTATGAGGAGAAATGGGAATACTACCACAGTTTCCTACCTGACTTGGACCCCTGGATGGACAAACAAGTTACTGGCCTTTGGGGACATAAGGGAGCGAACAGAGGTCTCTGGGGCCCCCGAGGGATGTGCACAGGACTCCAAACCCCAAAGAGTGCCCATAACAGAGACATAAATATTTACAAAGGGAGGGTCTGGGAGTTCATGAGTTCTGCTCCAACTCTCTTATTCTGACGTACCTGATGATCGGAAAGTCCAATATTCGTCATCGTCGAAATGAGTGTCTCCTGCGGTATGATGGTCTCCGGGGAAGAAAGCGTGTGCTACCGTTCCGCCAGGCCCGTCAAAGGGATACCCGTCATTGTGGTCTGCTTTGGAGAAGTCTATCTGTATGTCAGCGTTGTTACCCGCCACCTCGTGGAAATTCAACGGGGTGATGTCACTCCAGACCTTCAGGGCATAGTACATGAGGGCGCGGACTGTGTCATGGCCCAGGTGGGATTCTTTGGGGAAGGTGCGGACTCTGGGATAGAAAAGAGAAACCAAGGATATGAAAATAACAATCAATATCAGAGGCTGTCCAGCTCTTTCATTCTGCCGATCGCTTCATGATCCTCTCCAGGACTCATCCTCCTCTCAGTTCCCAAATCCTCAGTCTATTCTGCAAACCACCAGAAAGGGCTCTGTAGATGACTGGAGGTCCATGGACCATAGCTTGGCAATCACTGACATACACAATACTCTATTGTTGGTTCTCCCACCTCTGCCCTCCACTAGGTGGAATGTCAGACCCGGGAAACTTTGTGTGAATTTGTGTCGGCCCCCCGCCCCACTCCCTACCCCCCAGTAGATACATCCTATGGAAAATACAAGAACGAACACTACTCCGCAAGGGGCGGTGTTTCACAGCTAGCCCTCAGTAGAGCTGATCAAACTCAACATTTCGGTTCTGCAGAACATTTCAAAAATTCCTTTCATCCCAAAGCAGAACGAAAGTGGAAATTCCGAAATTTCCTGCAAAACCAAAATAAAAAATAATCAGAATACAATCAATTTAACAAAATATAAAATCTGAAATGATGACGTTGAAACGAAACGCTTTGATCTTATTGAAACAAGATATCTCGATTTTAATCTACAATGATACTTTGTGCAAAAGTTTCATCGAACCAGTACTGTCCAAGGGAAAATTATTCTGCTGGAAATGTTTTGACACGTTCTGCCCTCCAATAATAATGGTGATTTTATCTCTAGGATACTAGTACACCGACCAAGGCACCCAGGGAGCTGCCCAAACAATTAAAGCAGTCAGGGCAAGAAAGAAAAACAAACATTTAATATTCATAGACTCGTAGATTTTCCAAGCCAGAAGGGATCATCACGATCCTCTAGCATGAGCTCTTGTATAAACACAGGTCAAAGAACTGCATCCACTATTAAACCATTGCACAGTATAAACACAGGGGTAAGATTAAAATTCACCTCTAACAAAGATCCTGCCGTGATGGGTATGGTATACACTCATGAATAGAAGAGATGATGTGTTTTCAGCCTGTTGCTAATAGAAGGAAGAGGCTGCCAGGGACAGCTACCTAGGGAGAGCAGGTTCCAGACCCTAGGGGCTGGGACAGTGAATAATTGATCAGTCACCAATTTACAGTACGATGGTGGAACCATGGCGAGACTGTGTGAATTCCAGCTATTCCTTCGTCCAGTTAGGAAGGGACATGGGGGTTTTCTTTTCTGCAGCAGTTAGAAAAGTTAGTCCCTTCTCACTTTCAGTGGGAGTTGAATAAATAACTACGTGCAGGCACACACGTTATTAGAGATTAAAATGCCACATCTGGTCACCCTAGCCCCAAGAACCTTACACATGCCCCAAGAACCTTACACATACCCCAATGCTGCAAGCTACTCCATGGAAATCAATGGGAAAGTTAATGACAGTCATGGCCCTAAAGAACTTAAAGTCTAAAAGACGAGATGGGTAACATTTTCATAAATGCCTATATGCCTTAGGAGCCTAAGTATCATTTTCAAAAGCACCTAAGCCACTTAGGCCTTTTTGAAAAATTTTTCCTGATGAACAGTGGGAGGAGAAACTGAGGCAGAGTGCAGTGAAGTGACTTGCTCATGGCCACACAGCAGGTTAGTGGCAGAACTTGAACCCAGGTCTCCTGACTCCCAGTCCAGTGCCCCTCTTCACTAAACCACACAGCCCCTTTAATTATTAGGGTTAGTGATTCATTAACAATATGATTTTCTTCATGAACTAGTGGGGATTCCTTGCGGAATGACAGTTTTATTATCCACTGCTACTTTGACAGCTGGGCAATCTTATGGTTTCCTTGGCTACTGCTGTCCTACAAAAAAAATATTGTGTATTCTCATGGGGGTGAGGGGAATGAAAAGGGACCTTACAGACATGTGCCATTACATCCCAATTTAAAACAAACAAGTCAGGGAATAGGTTTGCCTGCTCTAAACATGCTGTATTTTATTAGGATTCTTGCTGGTAACAGCCTCTTGACAGTCCTTCAAGCTGAAAGCTACCACACAGAAATGCCTTGTGATGTGTGACAGTAACGTAAGCGTACAGGGCAGGAGAGAAGCGATGCTAAATACAAATGGGATACTATATCTGGGGACATGAGAAGCAAACTAAAATTTTAACCGAATGGAACAACAGCTGGGACAAATATCATTCCAACTCTGGGACCCTAGTGGTCATACATTATAGCCAGCGAGAAGTCATTGCAAACTCTTACACTATTTCACTTTGGGCAATGCAGGTAAATCCCTTATCTTCTGGACCCACAGGCTCCGGAACTAGGAGATTATCCATTTGTACTCAACTCTAAGGATCCAATTAAAAAATGCATTTGCAGTGACTTAATTAATTCCGAATGGGCTCTGTATTGTCAATATTTATCCCTTCATTCAGCTGATGGTTTGCTTTCCCGCTCGTTATCCATTTGCAAGGCTTTCTTCCACTGTCACAATCACCACAAGATCTGAGTTCGCCTCCTGCCTTACAACTAGTTAGCATCCTAATGCGCATGTCAGGCAACTCCCATCATACCTATTCACCTGGGGGCTACGTTAGGGAAACTGCCAGGACCTCCACTGAAGAATTACAACCTCTAGCTGATGTGTCTGTACCAGCAAAAAAACCAAACCCATGTAGACACAACTATGCGAACAAAAGAGTGCTTCCGTTGGCATTGCTAAAGTCATTTTGGGAGACGGTATAGCCATGCTGGCAGAAGAGCTCTCTCTGCCAGCTTATGCAGGATCTCCACTAGGGGGCACTGCTGGCACAGCTTCACCACCCAAGGCTAGGCAGTGTAGACAAGCTCTTACAGTCATGGTCATCTGCATTTATTCACTAGTTGTTGATTCAACTGAATAACTATGAACAGGCTCTGAGCTATCTCCAACCCTTCTTAGAGATGGGTAATGGGGCGGGGGAGAGATTAGAGATAATGATCCAAGGACGATGTAAGATGAGGAAGCTAGATTGGTGAAGTCATTGCAGAGGGGCTGTAGCCGCTTCCATCTGCAGCCCACATGCCTCCAGGATGACAAGGTATGTGCACCGACAGGGACAGGAGGGTTGTTCAACGCCCAGTGACCAAGATTTTCAGAAGCGACCAGGGGTTTGGGGATGCCTCACTTGAGACACATGAAAGGGCCTGATTTTCAGAGGTTGGGTACTCAGCACTGTGGCACAATCAGGCTTCTTTAGGGTGTGTCAAGTTGGGCGCCCCAAATCACTAGTCACTTTTAAAGGGCTTGGCTATGCTGCGTTTCTCACCTCTCTGACAATACTGCCAGTTCAGACCAATTTGCTATGGTGGCAGCCAGTGCGCTGCAGACACGTCCACTTGGAGCCAGCCTGACACGACTAACTGATTCCACAAGGGTCACCAGACAGTCCTCTCAGTCTAAAGACTGCCAAGGGCTAGTAGCATGGACAAGAACTGAACCAGCGACCTACAGCTGAAGAGCGCCTCAGCCCGTTACAAATCACCACAGCCAGTCAGTCCCTTAGTCAGTCTGTCTCTGAGTCAGTTAATAAACAGATCCAAATGTGACTGACACATTTCTGCCTGAGCTCAGGAGGTGTCCATTCTAATCATTATTTTGGTGTCTGGGTTCTTTTTTTCATGTGAAGGCGAAGGGGAAAGAATATTAGTGCAATATGAAAAATCAATTCCGGTTTAATGAAACACTCCTTCATGTTGGGCAACTCCAAAGCTAGAGAGAAATAAATTCAATGTTGATAATCACCAAACATAACAGACTATGGATTGCCTGATAAACAAGCATTGATTCGGGAGGGGGGGGGGTTGGTTTGTTTTTTGTAAATTGAGAATGTCTATGCTCATAGTCTAAGACTAGAAAATGACTCTTTCCCAGCTGCTCAGAGGTCATGCTCGGTAGAGTGTACAATGCCCCAGTAGTTCTGGATCTTAGCAATAGCAGCACAACAAGCCACATTCATTCCACTGTGTTCTACCTGGTCGTTGGCTGGGCGATCTGCGTACAGAGAGGTAAACACAATATATTTCACAACAGTGCTGCAAACTACTGCTATCAATATTTTGTGCTTCCATAGCACTTTTCAACCAAGGATCTCACAGCCCTTCACAAAGGTTAGTGATTTCAGCCTCGCACCATCCCTGGGTCACTTTTGTTATTTTGTTTTTAATACAAATAGATGACCAGAAGGCATCCTCCGGCTCCAGAATGAGCAGCAGCACGGGAGATAACTGATTCTAGGGGAAAGATGCTGGTAAAATAAAATGTCACTGCCTGTTTCCCAGGCAAGCCATCCTGGATTCATTCTGAGAAAGGAGGAGCTGTGCTGGATGAAACCAAGAGAGATTGGGGTTTGTACTTGAACTACAGCTCTTTGCAAACCTTGTCCCAGCATTCACTCACTGCTATCTCACAGAGCAGACAAGCATGCCACAGAAGCTGGTCTTTCTCCTTGTAAGTTATAGCACCTGCAGCAGAAGTCCCATCCACGTGAGGCACTTACTCTCTGCTCCACGGGGTTCATACAGTGCAGCGACAGGCTGTGCAGGTGCTACCCGTGGCGTGTGATGTCTATAAAGCACTGCAGCCTCTGAGAACTCACTCCAGCTTGCTGGCATCTGCCTCACCTTTCTATTTGGTACTACAGAGCAGCTGGCTTACGCATCTGCACGTCCCTTGGAGAGTGCCACACTGCTGCTGCAGCGAAATCTGCAGCTGTTCAGCGCTTGCTCCAAACTCGGCCAACAAAGCCAGGAGGAGAAAACACGGAAGACTCAGGAGAGCAAGTAGCACATTAATGGACTGTGCTGCTGGGCTTGTAGCGGCTTCCTTCAATTGTGCCTCTGGCCCTGTTGCCTCGAACACCATGGCCCAGCAAAAAGGAGATTTTGAATTAAGTGCATTAAAGGAGACCAGCACGTTTAGAGAGAAAAGAAGAGAGGGAACAACTGCTATTGATGGAGACGTGAGCTGGTGGGC